AATAATATTAATATTAATCGTTGAACGATATTTGAGAAAAAAAAAACGTCATCAGTGATTTAGTTTGAATGTTGAAAGAATGAGAAAGGAGGGAGAGAGAAACAAAAAAAAAAGTACAAAATGAAATTTAAAGTAGTTTATCAAAAAAAGTAAAGTAAACAAAATAATAACAAAATTAATCAATTGATTAAACTGAAAAATTTTTTTCTTTTAATAATTATTACAATATTTTGAAGGTTGTTGAATAATTTTCTTGCGATTTTTCTTCTCCTTTTTACACACAAACAACTTCCTTAACAAAAGAATTTCAGCAAATTACAGTTCTTTTTCCTGTCATTTTAAATAATTTATCATGTAAAAATCATAAAAACGAATTGCTATTTTTGTATTAAACTTACATTTTTTATTGAAATTAATAACAGACTTTTTTGATATTATCTTTCTTTTTTCCTTCAATCTTTCTTTTTTTTCTTCCTTTTATATTATCAAAAATTAACTATCGAAAAATTTGTTGTACATATCTTTTCCTTTTTAGTTTGCATATTGCAAATTTTTTTTGCGTATTTTATTTTATTTTTTAACTTTTTTTATCTCCGATTTTTTCTTTTAATTAAATAAAAATCATATAATTGTATAATACGTATATTCATCTTTTCTTTTCTCCAAAATGAGACGATTATTTTACACATATATTTAAATATATTTTCTTTCATATATTGCCAATATAAATGATTTCTATTTTAATTTAATTTTCCGATCAAAATCATTCATCGTATGAGTGAACATTCCTTCCACTCTTCCGTTCTCATATTGCCCTTTTTTCACGCATTTTTAAATTTTACAATTATTTTCATGCACTTCAAAAAAATATATATATAAAAGGAAAAAAACTCCGATTTTTATTATGATCGGATGAAAAAAAAGAAGGAAAAAGAAAAAGAAAGGATGAGAAATTTGATCGTTTTTGATTTTTATTGGCTTTCATTAATTCATTTTTCGTTTATCGAAGCATTTTTTCCATCGATTTGAGCAAATTATAATTATTTTTGAACAGCTTCGCTTTTTTCTTTCCCCCTAATTTTATTGGTTTGTTGTTTCACTGAGCACCAGCTGTCTTGTTAAATGTTGATTTTTAATTTTATTGTTTATAAATGAGCATGTCGAACTTTAGTGATAATGATGACAGTGATAATATTAGGAAGAAAATAAATAAGGACAATATAATTCTCTGTTCTTTTTGATCGTAATGATTTCTAATTTTTGCTAAGACTTCGGATAGAAGGAAAAACATCGGAAGATAGCACAATGAATGTTTTCTGCTATTTTTATATGATATTGATAATGACTGTACTGATAACAAATGTAGAAATGGTATAGTATTAATAGTAGGTGTACTATTGATAATTGTAATTATTTTTGAAGATTGTTTACTACTTCTGCTATGTTATTTCTTCGAATTTTATCGTTTCTCATTTAGCAAATTATAAAAAAGAGAAATTTGTTCCTCAAATATTAATATATTGAAAGTGCTAATTGAAAGATTCATTCAATTGAAATTACTAATAATTTCAAAAAACTGCCAAAATAATTATTCTATTTGATTTGTGTTTTTAGTGTCAACAAAGTCTTGAGAAAAATTAATAAATTTTCCTTTTGTGCTTTAAATTTAATTTGAAAAAATTTTTTTAAAAAAACTTGGTTTTAAAATTGATTACATTAATTAACATGCTGTGCTTCAAGTGCTGATTAAATTAATTACGTTCTATAACATTTATCAAAGAGTAAAGTAATTCTGCGCCTTTTTTCCGATTTTTTTTTACTTTACATTCTATTTGACTTGTTTAATTTTATTCAAAAAGCAAAAAATTTAAAGAGAAAAATTGGAATGGGAAGGTATGGAAGAAATTTCGCCAATAGTCAATTTACTGTACAGTTTTGGAGTAAATAGTATGTATTTTGTTAGAGAAAAAAAATGTCGCATTTCATTAAATGCTTAAATAATTAATTGCATTTTCGTTTTCCATTTAAACACAAAAATATTAATAATCCAAAAACAATTCCATGAATGGTAATAATTCCCTTGTCCCTAATAAATTTTAAAATTTCTCCATTTTTCTTCCACTTTAGTATTGTTTTAGCATAGTATCTTCAAGGAAGATAATGGTAATAAATTAAAATAAGCATTTCAATTTCTTATTTCTTTTAAATTTTATTAATTGCTAATGAAAAATACATTTCTTTTTCCCTTTTCATTTCACTTTAATTTTTCAATTTTTCGTTTACTTTTCTGATTTTCTCCCTTTTTTAGTTTTCTTCCCTCTTTTTCTTTTCCATTTCAAGTATAATTTGATTTGATTTTTGGTATTTGTTGAAATAAGCAAATATCATTTCATTTATTCAGTGTTTCTTTCTGCGTCTATCTTTTTCAAATTTCGTTTAAAATCCTTTTTGTTAATTAAATGAGAGAAGAATCACTTTTTTGTTTCGTTTTTCATTCAAATATTAATTTTTGTTTCCACCCTGATAAATTTATTAATTAAATTTAAATTGTAATTCATTATTTTTTGAAATCTTAAACTTTTCGTCGAAGTGATGCAAATACAATAAAATATTAATTAAGACTTACTACCTTTTCTATTCAGGTTACTTTTTCCTTGCTAATTTTAAAGATATTAAATCCATTTAAATAATTATTATACCATCAAAATAAAAATTTTTTACTGCGTGGAAACAAAAATATAAGTCAAAAAGATTAAGCATAATGTGCTTTTTTTGGATTTCAATAGCGAACAATTTACACAGCCAGATAGATCTTTTTTAGCAGAGATGACCACTGGTATGATGATCTTTGGTCAGTGGTAAACTGCTTTAAACTATTATAATACTATAAGCTTACATATTTAAGCTTGCAACGAAAATTTGACAAATTATACATATATAAAATGAAAAAATAGAATCTCGATGCAACCAGACATCCGGGAAAAATATCCAGAAAATTCGAATGGAACTTTCTATTTAAGTGTGTTCCTTTTCTTCTTTTCGAAATTTATTCATTATTTCATTATTATGATCAAATCGACATCTCTTTCTAAATTTAAAAATTTCTTTTCGTTTCGAAATATTATTTTTCTTCTCGAAATTTTCAATCGCTCTTCTTTGTACAAAACTCATTCATTGAACAAAAAAATTAATCAAATGAAAATTGCACTATAATTTTGGGGAAAAATATTAGAGTAAATAATGGCAATTAACTATTTCCATCACAAAAATTTATATTCATTTTTTCTTTCATTTTTGCTTCTTTATTTTAATCAGCAAAATTATCTTTTGATGTATTATCGCTGATTAGAAGATTCGTTAGCATTTATTTATTGGTATTTAATTAAGTTGCATTAATAGTTGGAAAAAGAGAAATGAGGAGAAGAATGTGAAGAACAGGAGAAGGGAAAAAATTTGAAATGGAAAAAATGATAAAATTTTTATGAAGATGAAAAAAGTAATATTTTTGAAGTGAAATACAAATATTATATTATTTTAAGTATTATCAATTAAACTTATTACTGTGACAGTAATTAATAAAACTTGACGAATTGTTGTAATTGTGATTATTATTATTATCATTATCATTTATTACTATTATTTATTATTGTTGTCAGTATCATTATCACTATTATCATCACTATTATTATCATTATTATTATTATTATCATTGTCATTAGTTACGAATAATGATAGGAAAAACTAACTTAGAGTTTTAATTCTTTAACTTACTCAACCGGAAATTCTGTTTGTTTTTTTAATGAAAAAATTCCGAAAAAAAAGTTGCCCTTTTAACTCTTAAAAAAGCTCTGATTTATTTGATAATTGATTTTTTGAAAGCAGCTGTTTTCTCTTATTGCTATCATTATTGAATTAATGGATTGCAATAAAATTATAAACTTATTTTTATCAAAAACTTTTGAGCTATTACAAAATTAATACTGTATCCTGAAATGTTTTACGAGAAAGAGTAGGAGGAAAAAAATGTAAAACGTAAAAAACAAAAAGCACATTTGAACATAAATTCATTAAATAAATTTTTTTTCATTTT